TGCACTTTTCTATGACTTGAGAGGACCTTTGCTTCTCTCTAGCACCAATCCTGCCATGTGTGCACTTCCCTGCATCCTCCAGGACCAAAGGCTGCTGCCAACAACTCTTACACCAGCAACTGAAAGCAGAATAGCTGGTACCGCCAAGATAAACCACTCGAGCAACTGCTCCAGCCAATTATATTTTGGGGAGAGCCCCTTAATTCCACCATCATGTATGTACAGGCATATAATAGAGAAGCAACACTCACCTACCCATGCACCAGCTGGTTGCTACTGAAACAATTCACTCAATCCTGCAGCCCACTGCATGGGTGCTCCTGAACAGATTCAGTCAACAAGGTTTCCAAGAAGTAACTATAAACTGGCAGTACCATTCAGGTGGGCCCTATACAGGCCATGAGATCTTAGCTGAGCACCTCTATCTATAATAATCTTTGCTTATTTTTGCCTCTTGAAAGAAGCATCTGACACTCTCTGAACAATTTGGGTTCTTCTCTCTTTTGAGATTAGTGGAAGATAAAGACTGACTTTCATGGAAAAGGGATAAGTAAATCAAGCAAACACAGCTTAACAGACATTCTCAAATATATTTGGTCTTAACCATTTACTTACGAGTATTCTACCAAGGAGAAAATAGCCAATTAGAAAAAACTGGTCCCAATTAAATTGAAAGAAGTTTGGCAATTGCCTCAAAAGTGCACCCCAGTAGTCAGCACTGTCTCCAAGTGTCTTAACTGCCTAGTGGATTTTGGAACTAAGCCATATTCCTCTTTACCCCTCCACCTATTTATTGCCACTCTGAGATATTTTGCGTTTTGATCAGTGAGAAAAGCCAGGAAGTGACTCAATTTTTCCCAAGCAGTCCTGTAATCCTATTGTGACTTCTAAAAAGGAAACAAACCCAGGAAAGCCTCTTAAATCTAGAACAATGTATTACACAGAGCTGTTTCCTAGGGAAACAAATTGTTTTCAAAGCAGCCACTGATGGCTGGCCTAGCAGGTTCACCTTAAACATCACCAATTAAAGAGGGGAGTCAAAATTATTTTTAGTACTTCATCGTTAATTACTAAAACAACAAACCATACAACAGAAAAAAATAATCCTTTCCAAAATGAAAGCTTTTGGAGGCAATTGCAGCACTTGAACATTGAACAGGCACCAAGGACTCTCTGAAAGAGAATGGAAAGCAAGGAAGCACAGTCCCTTATGTAACAATCTTGCTTTGTGAAAGAAATGAACCTTCAGAGCAAGTTACTAAGAAAGTTAGTGATGGCCAAGGACAACTAGGAGGTAGAGGAACTGTTTGTTTCATGTTCCAATCTGTATAGAGAAATATCTTAGAGAAATACCTTAAATTAGGAGTTTTAATATGCCCCCAAACTGACAGAAGTATAGGACATACCTCTTTACATATGGGAGCAATTTTCCTTTCCCCATGAGCTTGGTGGGCAACCAGTATCTTAAAGTATGTGCCCTCAGAAAAACCCCACGAAGATGACAATGTTATAATTAGGACACCAGTGTTTTGCAGTATTAGAGCTTATTTTTCTTTAAATTTTAGTCAATTCCTGTACAAATGTTTTGAAGATTTAATACTCATTAGGGAAATTAAAAGTCCTTGGAGAGGAACAAAGGCTAAACATAGTTGAATGAATAAGGAAAGGAAAAACTGAAGCTGGATAGGCAGTAACACCTGACAGTGTGGAACAGGCTCTCATAGGACATGAAAGTCCAAGGCTTTTAGCAGTCCAGATAAGCTGATCTTTTTCCTTACCACTGAAAGCTGTGCAACCTTCAAAAAACACAATTGAGACTTAGCGCCATTTGTGCTGAAGAAAGTAACATACAAAAAACCCATTTAAACATAGAAAGATTCATATATGCTATCTGTTTCTGTAATGCATAGAGCAAGACAAAAATGGACTGTTTGCTATAAGGGAAGTCTCAGACTGTTTGTTCTCTCAAACCACAATCAGGACTTGAATCCTTCAGAATTCCTTGGTCTGCAAACAGTACACAGGGTCTTTCTAAGAGCTAAGCTTAACATCAGTACCCCTATGGATATTAAGTTACACTCAGATGCTTCTCTGATATGCAGCAACTTCAGCATTCAAAACATAACTTGAGTTGGACATTTGCTGACACATACAGATCAAGTAAACAGCTGCTTTGACTCCCTGTCTCTCAGGAGAGACACATATACAGGATGAAGGAACGAGACGTGCTATTTTGGGTGACTCTTCAAACTAACAGGGCAGAGGGCTGGAGGTTATTCCTGTTGCATTCTCAGATCCACTACATGGTGGGGAGAGGCTCTTACATATCAAACGACAGCATTATATTGCTGTTCTAAAAATAACCTTAACATTTAATCATCTGCCTGGCACTGTCACTTTCAAACTAACCCACATTATACCCCGTTACAGACAAAAGCCATACTGATGTTTAGAGAGATATTAAATTACTCCATAAAACTTAAATCAGGAAGATGACTAACTCCCACTCTGACTCACTACACCAGGAAGAAAGTTTTCTGTGAACAGCAACACAGGAGAGAAAAAAAAAAAAAAAAAAAAAAAAGGCTTCCAAAGAGTTACAGCTCCCACTGAGGAGTTTAAACTAAACTAAACTAAAGAGCTTGTTTATTCATGCATCCTTTCAATCTGTCAGCATCTAGTCAAGGACAATACCATCTGCCTGCCTTAGTGAAGGTTAACAGAAACAAAACAGTTAGAAAAGAGCTGTGCTAATTTTCAAATACTTGTTATAAAGAAATTTCTTAATATACTTGCTTTATTGCAAAATTACCAGAACTAATGCCTTCTACTGATTTCTTTCTATAAACACCAAAACAATGCTTATTCTGCTGGATTAATCACTGGAGGTATGTGTACTCTTAATTTTTCTAAATAAGGAGATTTAGCACCAGAAACAGAAAGTTAGTCTTAAAATGCAATGGTTTTTTTGTTTTCTTTTTTCAGCTCTGAGGATGAGAATGGCAAAGCTGGGGAAAAAGGTGATTTAATGGCTGTAATGACATGGAAGTAAAATTTACTACTCAAAGCAGAATGAAGCTAAGAGTAGTTTCTTCAATACACCTGGATCATAATGCTTGTTTTGTTCCTATTTTATGCATCTGGGTTATCTTGCCCTCTGCATAATCCAATGGATTTTAACAGACTTTTAGATTTGACCAACTGCCACATACACACAAATTACATCCTGGATTTTGCTGAAAGTAGTGTTACCCATGTTCATAGTTACAATGTATATCCAAGTATGAAGACACAATCAGGAATACAGTTACTATATACACAGAACAGATAAACATCAATCTCCACAGAACTTCACAGGACATCATTTCACTTCAAAGTGTGACAATCTACCCGGTTTTGATTGAAAATGCTATCCCAGCATTTCTTTGGTAAAAGCATGGGTTAATAACTAAAAATGAGAGATAGATGTAGAAAGAAATGTAAATATAAAAGCTGGTTTCCAAGCATACCACCTTGGCCAAAATTTAAAGCATTCCTTTTTAAGTGACAGCAAAACAAACCAAAAATAGTCAGGTCAGCATTTAAATACTTAGCCACCTCCTAAGGCTCCACAGTCCACCCATCCTTCTATTTTATGTATGACAGTATAGCCATGCTCAGACACTGCTCCCTTCCCCAGGCCATGTACGTGCTGCCCACCCACCATCTCACAGATCCATCCTGTGTGTAACACTATGAACATCCTCCCAAGCACAGTTTCACCTCCTAGCTTGCTCAGAAAGCCCTGCTTTTCCAGGAAAGTGGTTGCCAGACAAGCAGTGCCTATCCATCAAAGAAGGAAAAAAAAAAAAAAAATTACTGCTTAGTTTGCAAGTTGCAGCTAACTGGGGAGCTAAAATCAGTGCAAGCCTCCCATTAGAAACACTGAGTTGCTAATGGCTTGTGCTGCAGCTGCAACAGGTCAGCCACTTCTGGGCACAGCTCCCCATTAAGGTACAGGGCTCCCACCAAGGAACTGTTTGTCAGTTGTTGGGTTTTTTTTCCACATGAGGGAGGAGCCAAGGATCTTTAAAGCAGCCACAAGGTAAAATTGCACTAAAAAAAAAAAATCACAAGAAAGTCGAATTTTTCTAGTACTTAGTTCTTGGGGAAGGGGTAAAAGTGCCTCATAGCACTACATCTTTACATACAAATTAGTATGATAGCTTTATTTAGTCTTAGTCTGGTTTGAATCACTAAAGACATAAAGCTCAGGTTGTGTTATTCTAGTATAGCTGACTCAAATTATGCACCAGCAAAAAACAACCATAAGTTTTTTGCTGATCTTCCTCGTTTAAAAGCAGGAAACCAAAGCTACTACCTCATACTGAGGCAGGATGGTAGTAATCAGCTGACTTGTAGCCTCTAAACATTTGGCGGTTCCCAGTCTGAAGCAGGTAATAATCTCAAATTTTAGGACTTGTCAGAGATGGCTACCTGGAAAATGGACAAATAAATTTAACTCTATTACATTTTATGTCTATCCTGTTTCTTTTTTACCTTATGTTTCGTCTGTTATTCACCGGTTCTGAGAGCATTTTTTTTTTTTTTTTTTTTTTTTTTTTTTTTTTAAATCTTCTGAAAAGGTTCTTAACAGAATACACCAAGAAGGGAGAGAGTAGGAGAGTAACATGAAGTAGTCAGGAGGTTTTTCTAGCAATGTCAGATGGCTATGGACACTCACACCCTGCCTTCCCCAATGATCTGTGCTATTAAATTTAAATGATCTGGAAAGGGGAGCAAAACCAGTGCTGCCAATGTAATAGTACACAAAATAGTTTAAAAGAAAGGAGACTGAAGACAGACTTCACAATAGTAAATGTGTAGTAAGTCTACAGATGACTTCACTACCAACACATGAAAAATAGTGTAAGAAATAGAAATAACTCTGACCATATACAGTACAAGTAGCAGCTGGGTGTTAAAAACCTCTTGGCTAGGAAGCAAAATACCTTGGCATTATTTTAGATGGTCCCCTGAAAATATCAACTCCACGCTCAGAAGCCATGAAAATTAAGACAGATGTTTAGGATTCATCAGGGAAGGCATGGAAAACAAATCAACACACAACTGTGTCATAGCACTTGGTATTTACAACTTGAGTAGAGCGTGGTCACCCCATCTTTGAAGAGACACATAGAGACGGGTAATGAAGATTATTCAGAAGTGGGAAGTGGCCAAGTACAGCAGCAGTCATACAGGGAAAGAGTAAGACACAGACCTGTGAGGCCTGTGATGAGAACTGTGGTAAAGGCAGGAAGGTAAAAACAAAATACAGATCATTAAACAATGATATGAAGAAGCAGGCTTAAAACAAAAACAAGAAACACTTTATCACAACGACTAGTTAAATGGGAGGGCAAAAGCATTATTATTTTTTTAATAATTATTGTTTTAATAATTCATTGTATAATTAATTTTATCATAGATAAAATCCAATCACTACAAGAGTTCACAGTCCAGCTGCAGTTTCTAGCTTAGGAAAGACATCCTTGCACAGATTTTGGCACACAAGGAGATCTTCCTGGGAAGAGAAATGTGACTGCAGTGTTGTTACGTCCTTTGCTCTAAGCACTCCTTACTACCACTTCTAGAGACAGATCAGTAGATCTCTGCTTTGCCATGTGGTAATTCTGATGTCACATATACTAAAACTACTCAGTTTGTGTCAGATGAAACTGAACTGTCCCACACTAATACAGTAACTATGTAGCAGCATGGGTAGCGATCATTAATTTGGAGGAAGAGACACAAAATGGAACATTCAGGAGTTGTGCACTTCTGGGAAGTGGGGATATGCATCATCTGAATTCCAGCCCCACAGCTTTCCCACATCCCATATCAACAAGATCACAATTGCAAAACAGCAAATCATTTTTCACACATCAGTACAGATGCCATGCAAAATTCCAATTCATTATTAAAGACAAATGATTTTTAAGGCCCAGCAAGACAAAAGTATCTCTGAAACAAAGCCAGATCTGGGGGCCTTCTTAGTGCAGTATCATTTGTTCAGGATGATTATCATAGATACCTGGTTAAGTGTGACACAGATGTTCAGCCTTGGTGGTTTACAATATGTGAAGTCACTTTTGCATAGCACGAGGAAGATCAGTAGAAGCTATACAGTGGTTAAACTAGCTCAATGCATGAGCCAAAACAGATGGTACCAAGAATGCTCTGAAGCACTTGTCCTGTATCGATCCTGCTGTGCCATTCCCTCAGGTAAGTGAATGCAGCAGATCGCCCTTTCACACATATCCCATAGAGAAGACTAATGTGAGCAAAGAACTTCTCAGAATTACTAGCAGATCATCCCTGTTAACCATCCTTCCATTCACTTGAAGGCCTTCTTTCTTCAGACTGCACCAAAGGTCTAAAATCACCAAGATGGTTGAAAGGCAGAAGATTGCAGTTTTTCCTCAATGATTGCCATTCATCTGAAGTTGTTTGGAATGGGATGTACCCACGTAGAATGTAGAGCACAGTTTACACACATGACAAAAGAAAACAGGCCATAACTGTTCAAACAAAAGCTTAAGCATAGATACCAAGCAAGCACCCATTTCATAATGTCTATCTGTATGAACTGGCTTGAATTTAAAGACAAAAATTTCTTAATAAAGCTTAAGAATTTTATCTCATTAGTTCCTCTAGGAGAACCTCCTGTTTTGGACATCCTTTACATGTCTCAACCTCTCACTGACAAGATTAAAGAAAGAAAGCAAAATAAAAACGCTGTTATTTGAACAAGAGCGCCACATAGTGTTACAAACCGCGACAGAAAACAAAAAGGCAGGCAACCTCTAGCCTTCCCAAACCTGGGTAAAGAAAAAACGCAGGCATTACACTAAATAGGAAGTCTCCCCATCTCGTGATTTTTGACAAAACAGGAAACAGTGTAGCGTTCAGTGTAAGAAGAAACAAGGCACATATTTTCTCAGTTTATTCTGCAGCCTGCATGTCAGCTAGCAAAAAACCTTATTTCAAGTAAAATAGCAGTGAACTCCATTGCTTTTGAACTATTTACATCAGTCAGTTTGCTTTCAAAACACATGCAAGAAACATAATTTGCAGTTAAGTCAAGAGCAGATGACCTGTATTTAGAGGGTGCACCTAACAATCAAAACAGTAAACTACTTGTGAGACTGATCACAAGTTTCTACTTGACTGGGAGTGTTTGTCTGTCTAGAGAACATAAACAGAAATATGCTAATGTTGATTTGTCATTATAAGTTTAAATTAAGAGTAAAAAAACCCAAAACCAACCAACACTGAAACCTTCCCATCCTCCTCTCAAAGAAGTTTTCTTGACTTCAATGGGATTCCTTTATGAAGCAAAGCGATAGGAATTTTCTTCTATATATTATTTTATCATTCAAGAAAATAAAAAAACCCAAAACAAAAACAGCCACCAGTGTCTCTAGAACCAAACTGCCATCACTTATTTTCTTGTTGACATCAAACACTTCCATTGACTTCTTCCTTTCTTCCCAAAGGAGTATAACACATTCTGGAAGTCACTAGAATACAGTGACACATTGCTTCCTCCTACTAGTCATAGAGGAATAGTCGTAGGGCAGTAGTGGTGGTGTGAACAGACATTACACAGAATTAACAACTCTTTCAATCAAGGTACAATACTACACATAAGGCACTACACAATATTGATAGTACTGGAAAGGAACAAGTTATTCAGAGCAATTGACAATTTTGCCAACTTTAAAGCTGTATTAGATGTGGAATTTATTGGGGAAATGAAACTCTGCATTATGGAGTGAAACTATTTTAACATTCAACTTCAATAAGAGTTCCTCCAGGAAGCATTTAGATAGCTTTAATTTATAAAACAACAAAAAAAAAAAAAAAAAAAAAAGACAATCCATTTTGCTGTTAGGCAAGACTATTCTTTTCTAGTTTCTATTTCATAGTGTTTTCACCTTACTAAAAGGGACAAAAACTTTTTAAAAGATACTTACATTCATGTTTTAAAAACCCTGTGTCACTGTCACATGAAAATGAAACAATATGCAGTACAGCTATTTATTACAGAATCTGTATTGACTTAAATTTAAAAAGCCATCAATCATACCTCTCGATTGAGAGATTTTCATCTATAAACTCATGACAGAGTCCCCAAGACTTCAGCACTAGATTAGTCTGCGATTCCAAGGCTTTTAAGATCAGAGTTCTCTAAAAAACCCACATAATTACCTATATGTGCTTCTTTCCCTTCAGCCTAGGTTCTTCCATATTTCTTCACAGTCCCACTCTTCCAGACTGCACATGACTTTTCCAGCTTCCAGGAGGAAGGGGGAGGATTCAGCTTACACTCACTTACAGTCTACTGCTGCTGCTGCCAAGGGGATTAATCCCAGCTCTATAAATGCCCTTATGTCTAAACCAGTTACCTGAGCAGCCAAAAGGAGTATCACTGACTAAAACTTGTAGCTTTCTGACTATGACTTGCCCTGTCAACAGGCTGCACTGTAGATTTGGGGAGATGGAGGAAGACACAGAAATAGACAGCTTCCACTACCTGACCCACATGTACAAGTATTTTAGAGCTGGCCATGACATATTAGAGATGTTGCCGTAATAGTCTATCGCAAGCCAGACCTCCCTATTTACTGTTCTGTCCAACACTCCAACACCTTCATTTCCAGCTAGCTTGGTAGCCCTAGGCTGAAGATCTGTTTTGAAGTATTACAACTAAAAATCAGTACTTTCCAGTATCAAAAATGAAGACATGCAGAAACAAACTGTTAGGAGCTGCAAAGACAAATGCAAAGCACTGTACTGCACAGCATCTTAAAGGTTCATTTCTGCGATGCCACTTCAAGAGTGTCCTTCCATACTTAGCCAAACCACAAAACAAAAAACCTAAACAAAATAGCCTTTCTGTTCCCTGTATCCAGTTCATATATTCAGATAAATATTCTGCTGAGTAAAAGAGTGCCCTCCCATATTCTTATAAAGACAGTTCTGTCTCCTAGATATGCCAGCTCAAAGGACTCTCTTACAGAAGCTGCTTTTCCTGAAGTCAAAGTAACTCCTAACCTACATTTCACTCAATACTGCAAATACAACTGCAACATTGTTGAGCAAGTATTTCCACTTCAATTTAAGCATCTAAGTGGCATAAATCCATCTTATTCACACAGGAAAGGAATTCAGAAGCCAAAAGCAAGCAAAGACAGCAAAATACAAATACATACACATACAGGTTCTTCCTGTTTGAGTTTTGGATAAGTACAATGGGTTTTAATGCACTTATATTGCAAACACCTTTTCTCTTTATGGTTTAGAGCACTGAGAACAGTACTCTGGGTGAGACATATGGTGGTTTTATTAAAACACTGAAGTTCCCAAAATCATATGATTGTGTAGAGCAGTAAGAATACTTTTGCATTTAACTGCAAAGATAGACAACAGCATTTAGTTTACACATCAACCTGCCTTTGTTACAGTTTTCCACTACGACTGTCTCTTTTTTAATGCACAAAACTGTCATGAGCAGGAAGTTGCACATCACATGCCATTAGAACCCAGTAAAGAGAACAGATATGATAGATTCCTGATCAATCCTTCCAGTTTTCCCAGTCATATTCACAAAAGAGAACTGACTACCAAAACAGCATTTTCAGCATATCTTCTCGGTCAAGTAATAAGCTTCAATTGAGTTAATTACTGCACTTAAAAACCAGAAACTTCATTCCTTACTCAGGTAAAGACGCCTATTAAAAGTCCCATCGGAAGACAGCTTTTGCAGGACTGCAGCATCCTTTTATAGATTTGATTTCAAGTTTTCCCTAACACTGAGCATGCCAAACATGTGCTGTTACACTTCAATTACATCTTCAGGGAGGCGTTGAGGTAAAAGTTGTAATAGAAAGCATTCCTTAGAGGTTTTTCAACTGCACAATATTTAAATCACAAAATTCTCAATAATTTATTTCATATTTGGTTGATTGCTGCCAGGAAAGCAAAGAGGAATACTATATTTCCACAGACATAGATGGTTAACACAATCTGTTTAAACAGACGACCCTGCAAGAGAAGGGGAAAAGCCATAGAAGTGTCAGTCACTGGTTTGAATGAAGAATCATCCCATTTCATAGTAGTTACTTAGAAAGTTGTGACTTACCTCTGCTTCTGCAGATGTGAGTGACTGCAGTATCTGTATTCTGTCATCCTCTATGACTTCAACTGTTAGTGGGAAGAAAAAAAAGTCTCTTAAGAGGAAGGGTGATTTTCTTCATTTTTATACTGCAGAAGTCGTGATCCTGTGACTAAGTAACTAAGTCTTATATAGCATTGAATTTGAAAAGCCCTTGGAAATCTTATTTGATATTTCATGACCTGCACCATCATGCACACAGTGCAAGTGAAAAATTATTCTAGAGCTGACCTACAAAAAGTAAGTTCTGCACACTGAAGTGGCAAAACATTTTGTCTCTTTTGCTAGAGCAAATCATCAAAACACTGAGTTTTGAGCTGAAGAAAACACTTGTTTGATCTAAAACCTTTTCCTTTTAAGATAACTAGATTTCATTAAGAAGTATTTCCTATTAGCCAATATGAGAACATTCATTGTTCAAACATTTCAGGTTCATTTCTTTATTTCTAGGAAGTAATTACTGCAATTAAATTTAAATTTACTTCTTTAATAATCACTGCTTCCCCACGTGCTGCCTTATGTAGCCTCTTAACTAATCATGCTTCTTCAATTCTGCAGATATCTCATCTCTGCTTTAGATACAGGCCATTTACAAGTGCACAGCCATCTCCTCTCAGTGACACCAGCCAATGAAGCTAAGGATTTCCAATGAAGTTTCTACCAGCCTCTTCACTAGACATACTGGAGTCAGGATTTCACTTTCATTCCCCTGTTCACTCAAAATTTCAAGCATTTGTCCTCAAGTTTCTGATCATTTTGCTCAAGCAATAATAACCATTCATAACAGCAATTTGTCACAATAAAATGCAGACTAAATCTGCATGACCAAACCTGGACCTTAACTACCCACCTGGGATCAAAATCATGGCAAACAGTGACAGATTCTTCAAAAACACACTTTTCAGTTTGCCCCTGTGAACTCTAGTTTGAGAGATAAAGAGGCTACTATTTAAAATGGCACAAAACCATTTTTTTTAGAACACTTTGGTCTTGAAAACTGGTTTACTCCCATATTAGTTTGTACAGAAGATATGACACTTACATGAGAGTTATTCCCTTTCAGCTTCCAAGTTAGAGACCAAAGAACACCTCCCAAAATTCAATCCACTGTTACATTTTGTGCACAATCCCCAGCAAGTAAGGTAACAACAGGAGTTTTGTTGGGTTCATACCTTTACGTACGAGACAGTAGCTGTGTATTTCCAGAAGAACGTCAATACCAACATGCCAAGCTACAAAACCAATCATTGTGTAAGTGTCCCATGGGTCTGGTAGGTCAAGTGCTGGTAGATCCATTCCCAAGAACATAGTCACCACTAGTAAGTAATAACAAGATAAAAAACCCACTGAGAGTGCTGTGTCAAGGTAATTAAAAAAATGCTCTCAACACCTTTGGCAATAGATTTCCCACGCACTGCCTGTAACTGCTTGGGGAATGAGGTTAAAGGAGTCCATGCAGCTGAAAGCTTTTTTTTTTTTTTTTTTACAGTGTGAAGGGGAAGGCAGGGAGAAAAGCAGAAGGCCAAGATAGTTTTCATCCTGCTCAGTGCCCTCACACAAACACTAGTATTTATGACTAACAACAATACCACGGTGACCACATCTATGCTTAAACTGCCTGTGGAAACTTGTCACTATTAATAGAATTAAGCCAAGCTTCTTGTTCTGTAAATGAGTTTCCTCTCTGCCATTAAATAACATTGAACTATGTTACTGTAAGAACACTATCCTCAAATCTTCCAAGACAAAAAGGAATTACAGGTCCTCATTACAGAGATACCTTTCAGATTTGTCTGTAATCTCTTTGGTTTTACATAGCCACTTTTTCTCCCTAAAGCTGCATCTGATGGCCTCTTAAAACTCAAAGAAGATGGCCAGCAAGAAAAAGAATCTTCAGAGATTCCTGGACTGGATGTTCATAGATATTTTAGATGAACAATAGCCCAGACAGTGAACAAAGTTCCTTTAAACCACTTAAAACGGGGTTACAACTATTACTCCTACTCACCAGCTAGTATTCTAGCTGTTGTACCAGCACTCCAATGAAACCAGTTAAACAATTGCCTCCTACAAAACAATGAAAAGCATTTTATTGATTATGTTGGGAAGGGGGGATGAAAATCAAAGGTGTTACCTACTTTAAAAATATCTTTCCAATATAAAAAGAATTTTTCAAGAAACAGGCATATTTAATTTCTGTAGCTGTAACTTAATGAGTTAGTTATGAATACCTTGGCGCATGTCGAGATGGTCTGAAACCTGCCATAAGCAGTTGAAAGATTGTCAGAGACATCACAGTACAGCCGAGATAGGGATGAAAACCTGCTTGCTAAACACAGGACATTTTTCAATATCATGTCTATATAAAGATACAGAAAAAAATAACAAAAAGTTGATAATTTTACGTATGCTTGTATTAAGTTACAATGATGGAGCAGCACTGTTTAGACTGGCAGAGGTGACAGGACACATTAAACTGCCCTGGAGCTGGATGGAGATGGTTCTCTTTGGCAGCATGAGATACTGGTAAGTCTGCCCAGGGTTTGTCCCACCTTTTTGCTGTACAAGAAATTCTACCAGCTGAAGATCAGAGAGCAAAATGACTGTAGAAACTATGCTCCAAGCTCTTCATACTCAATCCTGGGGCTTCAGGAAAGGCCTGTTACATAACTCCTCCCAGCACTGGTCTCCCCTCTCATCCTATCTGTTTTAATCTTAACCCTAAAACGTTTTACAGAATTTCCCTAATTCCTAGCTCACATTTGTGACCACATTCTCCCACCTTTAACTCATATACTCTTCAGACATTCCTATTTCTGTTATGACCTTACACCAAATAGTGTACAGGTGACAGCAACAGGCATAATGTTCCAGACTACGCTTAACCTCTGGATAGAGTTACTCATGTCCAAGTTCATAACAACACTTACTCCCAGCAGGTTTACCTCCTTACTCCTCTCCCAAATTCAAGTTCTCTAAAGAAATGGGAAGATGACTTATTTAGTACATAAAGAAACTGTGAGCAAGGACTTTATATGGGAGAAAGAGGAAGGAAAAAAGCACTGAAGTTTGTCAGTTGTAAAGGAGATAACATTCCTCTTCTGTGTTGCTAGGATTCAAAATCAGCCTACTTAAGGACAGTTTTCACAGTATTTTCCTCAGCAAAGTTGTAACATGTTAGTCATCAGTGGACTCTCATTCATTTGGTCCAACGTTTACATCTGAGTTAAACAAAATAAAGCACAGACTTACTTGGCTCCAACCTCCTCGGTATATAAAAGGTAACACAAAGGAAATGCTTGTTAACATGACTGTGGTCAACATAAGTATACGATGCACCTAGAAAAGTTAAGTTTGCTTTTAGAAACTCTACAGCTTTCTTAATATGCTATTAAAATACATTTAACAGATGTACCGTTAAAGATGTTCTTAGCATCCTCTTTAGACTTTGCTTTTCCTAGTCAAGTAGGCGAATTTCTGAGCTGTAATTGTTACATTTTAAGATTAAAGGTAAAAAAAAAAAAAAAAAAAAAAAAAAATCACACCAAGTTTAACCTCTTATTTCTTGGATCTCATAGGTTCATAGTTCTGCTTACAATAAAGCTAGAAAACACAGCCGAAGATATGGGGATATTTTGCCTACCTGAAACCACATCTCCTTTCCAAACAAGAATGAATGAGACCAGACAGGTTTGAAGAATCGTGCAACAATAACACCAATACTAACTGCAGTAATCCAAGCAACAAACATTAGCACTCCTGAAAATTGAAAAAATACAAGGTAAACATGAGTAGTAATTTAGCTGCATATGAATATAGCTTCAAAGACTGTGTAACAGCTTAGTCCTTATGCATGTAGTCAGAATTTACCAGTGATAAGATTTTAATCAGCTGGTTCAGACTACAATTTTATAGTATTTACCTTCTTAGAGGGCAAACACATCCATATAAAAGATAATCATACTATGCCCACACAGCACAACAGAGCAGCTCTGGCTACACACATTTCATATGCACCAGTACAGTCAGTACATACTGGTGAGAGATGCTGTTCTATCACCAACTTAGACATCAGAGGATGAAAAGTGACATTTCTTACAATTTGTTTGACAACAAATGAGTGATAGTTCTTCATAGGCTTCATTTAAAGTTCAGCACTGTGAGTGAAAAAATTCTCAACTTCAATGTCCCTGAACTGTCAGCTGAGAGGTTTCCCATTTCAAATAGAATTAAACCAATAACACAACTAGAACAAATTAAACCAGAGAAAGAGGTAAACAGAAACAAGTCCTAATTATAAATTTAAGAGAAAAGACAAATGCAGGTTCATTTTCCTGGGCAAAAATCATCTTATAATGCTATTCTTGAAAAATTACTAATAACTTTACTCTGTCTTCACAGTCTCAGATCTTGCTAGCCAACAGTATATGTAACATTAGTGCCAGAAAGACAAGAGGAAATACCTACTCTGCAATAATGAGGAAAAATTAAACTTTCCAGTCTCAGCAAGTTTAGAACTGAAAGACAAAACTAGAAGTTGCAGCTTACCATGAGCCTTGATAAGTCGAGGGGACCGGGAACCTCCAATATCCTGAGGAAGGCCTGTGACATTGTACATTCTATTGGTGATCAGAGGCTGACGACGATGCTTATATATTAGTCCACCTAAGCAGTGACATAAAGTGGTTTATTTATGACCGATGAAAGTCACTGCACTTGTAAGCGTGCCTGCTATTATTTATGAATGCAAGCCCTGTTGTGACCACTGAGCATAATCATACAAACTAAATTTCTGACACACAATATGACAAGAAATTAAGATGTCATCTAAGCTGTCTTGCATACTTAATGTACAAGAACCAACTCACCCCTCTACAGAAAATAACTTCCTCCACCACACACACAAGGCGTGAAGAATAATTGCCTTTGATGCCAGTCTTCATTTTAAAAAGATGTGGCCAGCTCTCAAGAACCTACCAGTTCCTAGCATCAAGGGGGCATACAACACACACACGAATGAGTTTACTACAGCTTGTAAAAGCAAACCAATGATCCAGAGAGGCAGTACAGACAACTGGACTAAGTGCTTCAAACTTGGAAAAAGTTCAGATATTAATTCTCAGCTAAACTATCTTACATAAGGGTCACTAACTCATTTAGAGCTATTCAAAGAAAATCAACCCTATGCAAGTTGTTTACCTTCACTAGCTTCCCCATCTGCCAGAAAGATGTAGTAACTGCCATCCAGATTAAATCTCCCTTTATAAGCAGGAAGATGAATACTCCTTCTGAAAGAACACTGAAGAACACCATCCACAAGCCTCCATGACACATCTTCAAGGGCATTCTGTGAAATAGGAGACATTTAATACCCAGTCTTTTCAGACTGGCAGAGTAATTGGCTGCCACAATTGCCACAAACCAAGAATGGCAAAGATCGGGGTGGGAAAGAAAAATCTCTTGTTTACCAACTTAGAAGGTACGTCAGTAAGTCAACACAGCAGTATAAGGCTTGAACTTATTACCACCAATTTTCCAGCTCATAACAATTTCCCCTTCCCTTTCAACCTTTAACCCAAGATGTACCGATTGCAACTGCATATATAGCAAGAGAACAGAGTAATAATGGGCATAAAAAAGTTCCTCAGTAGAGTAAGGTCCCATCACATGACTCATTTTTAAAAATTAAATACAGACTTCCAAACATTTACCAGGAAGTAGGAGCCCAACCAACATCACCTTAAAGTGTTATGGATCCACTTTACTATTTAAAACTGCTGTGCAAAATAAAAGCACAAAGCAGCAGCATACTGTTCATTGCTTCAAACCTACATTTGTGGAAGTGCCTTAGTTGTTTTCAAATGTACCTCTGAATACAAAACAGGAGGACTTCGGCCCTTCAGATAGGCAGTGCTTATGTAAACATGGTGGTCCTCATTAACACACAGATATGCATCATCACCACCCTAGAGAGTTTAAAAGAACAAGGTAGTTATAGCCCAATAAAAACTACTACTGCAGTCGTCAAAAGCTCTCTGATTTAATATATGCAACAAGACCCAAGACAGATCTATCTAGCTGTTAAGCTATTATTTCCCAGCTTTCAAACACTTCAGCGTTACAGAGGAACCACATTACGTCAAAGATGACACATAGTAAGGCACATTATGATTTATGCTCCGTTGCTCCCAAGGTAACAGCCATATTATCAGAAGTTTCTTTAGCTATTTAGAATTTACTAAATTAACCAGACAAAACAGAGATGGATGTTGATGCTATTTAAAAATCCTCTATAGTTAAAAGTTTGCTTTCCTCATAGCTGTAAAGACAAGCATTGTTAAGAACCAAGTGTTCTTGTGCTAGGGACATGAATGTAAACAGCATCTCCTTTGTGCAAGTTTATGGATTATGCATCTGTCAACAGCATCATCCCTTCACTTTAAGACCAATTAGGAAAAAGGATCTCTAAACACTTTTTAAAACTGAATGGAGTCTCTCCTGTACAAACAATGATGAAATGCAAATGGTTTTCAGAAAGTATAGCAACTCAGCTTTTGACAGGTAAGGGGTTTTGGCTAGGTAACAAAGAAAGATTGATATAACCAGAAATTCTGGTCAGCTACTTGCAGTCAGATGGGGTGGATTCTGCTAAAACAAGGAAATTCTATTGTAAATGGTCAATCCTGAACTAAAACTGAATATCTACCTATAAAATGCAACCTGTGCTTCAGCGCTATGGGAGAGGAGTTACTTTGTGTGACATCTACCAGCATTTCAGTTTTCCATATGCAAGTTTTGCTAGACTACCATTCAAACTTTACTAAGATCACAAAAGCAACTAAAGTAGTAAAATAGGACACTCACCATCCACTGGTCATGGGACAATGCAAATGCTAAATATCCTTCACTTGGACCACTCATTTCAATAAATACCGAACGCTTCTCTTGTTGGAAGGACAGAAAAAAACAGGAAGCACTTTCAGGATCACAGTTTGAAGGGTTCCTAATGCAGAACTTCATACTTCCACAACCTGATGCATTAAACTAGACAATTAAGCAAACAATCAAGTCATAAGCAATGAGTATCCCCTATTCCTCCTCCCCTTCTACCTCATTCCAGAAGAAAGCATACAAGGAACAGCAAGAAATGTCATCTCATCCACACATTAATCTCTTAACCCACCTCTACAATTACCCCAGGACTAGCAGGTAAAATGATGGTGAGTTCCAAGCTGTGCTTTTACTCAAGTTGAATTTTCACTTTAAAGATATTGTAATAGAATAACTTTGAAAAGAAAGTAAAAACTTTATCGGAACTTCCTTTGGTTTAATTTTTAGAGAGTTAATATCAGCTGTAGGATGAGGGATAAAAAGGGAAGACCAGCTTTTCATTTCCTTTTTAAAGTAGGAATTCCAATGATACACAATGAGAATATACATGGATTAAAAGTCACACTTATTCTGGATCAAATAGTGATGCTTGCTCAATCCAGTCAAGAATCAGTAGTAGAAGTCACTAACACAGATGAACTCACAGATGAAGTTTCCAAGCCTCCAGTTACTAAACAGGAATTTATTAGTCAAGACCAGAGCAAGTCTTCTCCCATCTCTCTTCCCAGGTATGCATAATATTTTCTAACCATTAAGTTCTAAATGTTCTATCAACCTTCTGACCCATGTGTGGCATGACATTTAACCCACACAAGGTTCAAGCAACTCAACTAACACAAGACAGTACCTGTCTATGTTCTTGGTCTCTAATATCCAAGTTACTCATCCATCATCTCTCCCTTTCTGTTAACAGGCTGTATCAATGTGATATTATTAAATTCCATTTATTACAAGCATTAAAGATAGCGTTATTTAGGTTACAATTACTTACTGGCTTTGATAAGTAGGAAATCTGATGTGAAGTTGACATAGCCTCTGTCGTTGCATGCAAGGGTGTTGTTGGGGATGGTACATTAGGCTGAGAAACAATGGGACCAGGAATCTTCACCCAAAAAATCTTGTATTTCTTTACAACTGTGGCTCTTAAACACAACACACAGAGTCATTACTGTATACATCAAGAGTTGATAGTTTCTTTAAAAAAAGGAAAAATGAAAAGCTTTTACAGTTTGTACAACTTATTTGCAAAATCCCCACCTTTATGCAGACCTCTACCATTTCAGGTATTAAAGTAGGAAAATACCTGAAATCTCAGTGAAAAAATAATTTTAAAACTTACTACTGCATATAAGAAACACTCATGTCTGTGGCACAGATTACAACCTCAGACAAGAGTTGCATAGCTTTTATCCATTAGTTCTCAAAAAACTAGCAGTATTACAGAGGGTACACATACCATTTTGTTAGATACAAGCACAGAAAAAGATTCTTAACACTGTATCTTACAGGCATGAGAAGTGAGCTGTTAGGTAGAAATACTAAAGAAACCAATTTCCAAATCCCCTTCTACTCCCCCTATGAAAATGAAAATAATCACCTCCAGGCTCTCCCTAAAGAACAAGTGTCTGCATTAATGTAAACTCCACAGTGAGCAACAGGTGTTGACTTTTCAGGCCATTAGTTCAAGGATACTTCTCAGCTGTTGCATAATATCCAAAACAGACAATGCTACAGGTTTACCTTATTTGCATTTTAATAAACTAGAACAAATACTAGGTTTACTTACAGAAACTGTACACGTTTTGGTGCATTTCCAGGAGCAATCCAATAAACTTTTATGTATTTCTTTTTTGTTTTACTTGTGTGACTGACAGCTGAATTCTGAAAACACACATATGAAGAGTTACACAGTGGATATGCACTAAGATTTCAGTTAACAAACAGTCATCATAGGCTGCAGCTAAATCCTAAACAGACACCATAAATGGCTTTTCCTCATGATCCCAGTCACCATCAACTCAGATGAATTAGCACTGAAACTTATACATACTAACAAACTTTAAGGCTAAAAGTAGCAACTAGAGGTCTTTCAATCCAGAAGACTCCAGTGACGAGAGGTCCCTGCAGCATTTATGCAGAAATGGTATGATAACCCCAGGTTTTTGATAGTAAAATAATGCTCCATTTTTTGGTAGTAAGAGCAATGAGGGACAGTGCAATAATAAAAAAAAAAAAAAAAAAAAAAAACAAAAAAAAACCACAAAAAAAATCAAGAGTAGTCTTGGGGTCAGACAGCTATTTGCACAAGATAAACACATCAGACACAGTGCTGAACTAAGTCTCCTGAGCACAGAGGGCATGATCCAGACATCCCCATGGCTTTACAGCACTGATGAATGCATTAATTGGATGCCACTGAGTGGCAGGTGGTAGAATTGGATAGAAAAAAATTACATCTAGGCACATTGAGAACTTGGTCTACACCAGCTCAGATGACACTGTGCATGTTCATGAAGTTCAAGGCAGTTGCTGAAACACTAGAGTTTACATCTCTTGCACATGAAGCAGAACCAATTTATCTAAAATGGATATAAAAGATTTGATCTAACCTGTTAGTAAGAAGGCTCCATTAACAGTAACTGACAGAGCAACACAAAATAGCCTATTCTAGTGTTTGTTTACCACATTAACTGCCCTAAACTTTCCTTGTTCTAAGACATTTTCTCTGTCTTAACAAACATGGAAAGTGATTGATAATGCTCCTCTTCAAAGCAAACAGAGCATGCTCTCCTCTTTTTATTATACAATATCCAGGAATACACTATATTCACCGTGCACAAATAAAAATTGTTATAAATGCTGCATCTTCTTGCAGCAGTCAATAGCCTTCCATCACCACAGTTTAAGTGGCTCGTAAAAATAGTCTGACAGTTGTAGTGAGCCATGCCTTTATATTGCAAGTTGGACCAATTTTCTGAGAGTCTGAGCTAAAAGATTACATAGCTTAGCTCTGTCCTATTACAGACATGGTCTAGTACAAACACCTCAGTGCCTGATGTCCCATTTTAAGACACTAGACTATACCTTGGTACGGCCACACGTCAGAAGCTGAGAAAGTCTCCGGTCAACTAACATGAAAGAACCAACTGCAGGGCTATCCAAGTGTTCTGCATCCCGGGCTTGAATGAAAAATCCTTCAAAATCTGGTCCAGACAGGTGAACTGAAGCAAGAAGAAAAATAAGAAGGAAGTGAAATATCTTCCAGAAGAAGAATGAAATATTTCAACAATGACCACCAGAAGCCCATTTTACAAGTACTGAATGACTAAGTGGATCACCTGAGTAAGATTCAACTGCTTAAATAGATCTAGTGTAGCTAACCAAGTAAAGACATGCTACAACACAAAGAAACAGTAAATTAAACTTTTCAGCTATAAGTGACAATACCTTCTATATTGTCCCCTGGTTTAAATTCAGTCCAATTCACAGTAATGGTGTGCTCAGGTAACAGTTGTGGAGAGCTACCATGACAGGGTATCATACTAGTGCAGGCTTCTCTTACTTTTCCACTTGGATAGTTATTCACAGATGCATAGAAGCAAATAAACATCCAAACAGCAAAAGCAAGGCCAGGCAGCTCCATCTATACAAAATAAGAATTACAGGCAATTAAATACAATAAACACATTACAGGTCACCACTCACCTTTAGAGGAGTCAGTTGAATACTAAAATTTAAAAATATGTTTATAACAAAAGCAGGCATGAGAAGACACCATTCCCAGCTGCAGAAGCTAAAAGGAATGTGTGCTTCTGGTAACTGCCAGACTTCACAAGAAATGTTCACAGATACCGTGTTTCAGGCCATCAAAAGTACAGATAATACACAGATCTCCCCATCCACTGGGTGGATTATTTCTCACTGCATTTTGACATCACTTATAAAATTTCTTTTGCTTACACCTCCCTTATTCTCTCTCTCAAAACAAAATCCCAAGTTGCTTAAACATATGCACAGGACAGATGGATCTTAAAACATGTTTCATTGACATATAAAGGTTCACAGTACTGAGGAACTACACAACTAGTACAAAGCCCACTCTTGATTAATCAGAGCTCCAAACTGTGCATCACTGAAGACTGCCTTTTGTTTCCAGAACTCGTGCCTATTTCTTTGCATATGACAAATACTTCCCAGGTAACAAGTTCTTCTTTCTGCAGGGAAACTAAGGTTGCCAAATGTCAGATATAGATTTCATACATGCAAAACAGTGAGAATTTGGTATAAAGATTTAGACAAAGAAATATATATGTTTGTTGCAGACAAGCAAGCACAAGACTTTCTTTGAATTCTTCCTATGGATATTGGACCTCCAGACAATTAGTCAAACAGGATCACTGCTTATCAGACTCTCATTAAGGGAATAGCATGCGTGAAAAACATGTGGGGTAGTAGGACCCAAGAGCCTAAAGCAGTTATATGAACCCCTAATCCCAGCATTCGTCATATAGAGTTTTGCTCTGCCACAACACTGTTTTCAAAAAAAGCTGTGGTAATTGTTTTGATAACTAAGCATTATGCAGGGTTTACAGTTGTATAGCTGTTTACAGAACACCTTAGCCAAAAAGAAAAAGCATTTGCACATCCAAAAGGTTGGGTGAAAAGAGAAACTTCTTTTCAGTCCTTAGTCACAAGAAGTGGGTTATCAGCTCTAGGAGGACATACACCAGGCAAATAGGTCTGCCTTCTGGAAGAGCCATGCCCATTTTGCACCAAGTGATAAGAAGTATCAGGTTATGAAGCTCCCTGACAGCACGCATAGACATAGAAGATAAGAAAAGCACAGAGCTGCTTCAGACTGAACTCTGATACCTAAAAGCAGAAAAAGCAGTCAAAGACATGTCATTAGTTTTACACACTCTCTAAAAGTTATCAATATTAACTTTTCCAAAGTTCTCATCCACAATATCCAAAGCAATGCTACATTTGTACTTCAACATAAGAGCTCCTCAAAAACCTTACACCAGTAAACAGAAGAAAAAAATCAGAGGGGAAATAGGGTTATACAGTTACATTTCAGGAACTGGAAGGAAAAAAAACACCCCGACACTCAACTCCTCCCAGATAGTCATGACAACATTATGACAGTATCTTTAACTTCAAGGTAAAGTAAGCCTTTCCTTCTAGTTCCAATACTTCTCCAAACCGTCACAAATCAACATGATTCTATTCATGTTAATGAAGCTAAAAACTAAGGTTCAGTACAATGGTGGCATTAAAGCAGCTTTTATATGTATCAGTGAAATTGTCAAAACAAGTTGCTGCCAGGAGAGGTAAGACTGCATACCAAAGAGACTAGAAAAAGGGTAGGTTAGTACTCTAGTTTAAGTAGCAGAGGATGTGGTAGGGATTTAAAATGAAACAAGTAATATTCTTTGCCAGACACGGCTGACTCAAAAGAGAAGGAGGAATAAGCAGAGATGAAAAGAATGAAAAAGGCCAAAATCTGAAAGAAGCACTGTACTGAAAAGCAATTTTTAAAAACTTTAAAATTTTTTAGACAGAGTTAACCATAGAAGAACAATGTTCTCTATGAACATTCAACAGTGAAGGCTAGATTCTATAAAGAATAATAATTTCCATATTAAAATTTAGCCTTCCTCAAACAAGACTTACTCAGTTGCCTTGAGAAGTTCCTTTCCTCCTTTAATCTGGAAATAGATTGTGGCACTCTACATTCTCCTCTTACACAGCAAAAGAGGCAGAGGGAAGATGGGAAGCACTTTTATAACACCAACCACTCTGCGGTTAAAGATTTATTTGGAATTTGTAGGAAAATATCTCCAAAAGCATATTGTAGACAGAACAGTACAATAGGTCAACATTCAAGTGAAGTCAATCTTCAAGAAATTATTCCTTAAAGAACTCTGGACTTAAATACCACAGTAAAACCCTTTTTATAACACAGTAGAACTTCATACTTACTTAGTTTGGAATAGCCAAAAATAGAAGTTTACAATCACTTACCTGCTGCCCCTAGTTCGGCTAGGATCTCACTGTGCCTCCCTATACCCTTTTGCAACATGCACACACACTCTCAAGCTTCAGTCTACAAGTCTTGTAACAATCATAAAGAGCAAGAAAGACAAGGACATAAAATCTGAATATACAGGAAGAAAGAGGGGAAATCCAAGAGATGTCCAGAACTTCCTCCTATAGGCAGGTTTGGATGTCTCTGTTAGCTCTAAAAACCCCACCCGTTACAAGAATGGAAAACAGTATGTCATGCCCTTGTGCATACGGCAGTCTGGCCAAGAGAAAGAAAGAGTTAGTCTGGAAAGCTAAGCACATATCATTAGTAGTTCAAAAATGAAAAATATTTTAAAAAAAACAAACACCTAAGGAAAATACCTAATTAAACTAATGAACCAGCAATAAGCAATTCTGAGAAGGACAAGTATACTCAGGCTGAAGATCAATAAGCAATTATACTCATCCTCAGCCAAGTATTTGCAAAACAGACCATCTGCTTTGCTGAACAAAAAAATACCCCAACCAAAGCCAGCCACCAGCAAGCAACAAGTCACTCCTATATTAAAAAAGTCACCTCTTTTTCTGTAAGATTATATGGTTTCCTCTTCTATCTGATTAAGAGTTCCACAGCCATGATAGTGTTAATTCCCTCTAAGTGATGTTATCAGGAATGACTGCATTTTTAGATATTTAACATGTCATATATACCACAATGCGGAATATTTAGTTATTTAGAATTAGAGGAGTAACTAGCTTTAAAATTTTAACTTATCACACACAGAGGTAAAAGAATCAACATTTCCAATAAGTGAACATGCAATAAACTGTGGAATACACAACTTGTCTGATATTGCTCTTTGCGAGAAAACCAGAGAAAGAAAACTAAGTCTCACAAAGAGTGTTAGGATTAATGGCATGGAAATGATTTGTTACAGAGAGGTTAGGTTCAGGAAGTCTGAAGTGTGATACGTGAATCATGCTTAACCTCACAGCAAAAGAATAAATGCCTTTTGAAGAAAAAAAAAAAAAAAACAAAAAACACAAACCAAAACAACAAAATAGTTCTCCACCTGTATCAACAAGGTCCCAAGAGACTGATCAAAAAATCTCACATCATACAGAACTGTTACTCACTCTTCTATTCTACTCCCAGAAACATGTCTGAATTAAAAGAACAGTTAATTTGTGTTCTAATAAAGATGAACCAGCAGATCTCTGCAAGATCATCTTTTCTAGGCAAGAACAACATAACTTAGTCAAAACCTTAAATCACCAGGCATTGCCACTACAGCTAGATTCAAAATGAGAATACGTTAACTCAATTTTTGAGGCATGTAAGCTGTTGAACAGCCTGCTATTAATGATAGCATCTGAAAACACTCTCAGTTTCCACTATAACTTACTATAAATTGTAGATTTGTCCTTGACAGATTTTGCTTGCAAGTTGTATTAAGCAGCTTTGGCTACAGTGGCTCATTTATAACCCTTTGAAATACAACTACTCATTGGTGACAGCCTATGAATTAACAGTCAAGCTCCTTGTACTAAAGAGGAATAGGAATAATTGACTTTGAGACAGAAGCATAATGATGTTTAAAAACATAAGAGCTAACTTCTGCAGCATAATTCCTGAAGCATTTTTCAACTGGCAATTCTCCAGCATTTTTGCTAACTTACTATCATTTGAGCAGCTTGGAAGAACAAAAGGGAGTTTAAGGATTTCTGCACCACCCAGTGTCTTGTTTTCCAAGATAAATGCATTACATTGAAATGCTCGTGTTAACCGAGGGCCTGAGAGCACATACAATCTTGTTCCTCTGTCTTCTCTGACTATCAGCCACACACCATGCAGTAGCATGCATCAGTAAATGCCCCAGTCAAGGTTACAAGGATGTAACATAGCATACACAGCATACTAGCTCCATAGTCAGAACACAATCACATAGCACATTGTTGATTTTACTTAAGTCTTGTACTATAGACAGACTTCTCAGTATGTTGTGTACAACCAAAGACGGCATAAGATCCAGGAGTCCTTTCTCTACAGATAAGATACTAGCGCACACCACACCACTGCAGGATAAGACAATCATTCAAACCACAATGTTTTATACCTTTATTTAGAGTGAAAAAAAAAAAATACTTCAATACTCATTAGTTTGAAGCGTGACTTCAAATGTATTATTCCCTCCCTCACCCTCCCTACTTAAATCATCAGTATAATATGTAAGTCAAACCCCTGGCAGGAAAGGAAGCTTCAGAAAAAGTTTGTTTCAAGAAATCTCATCCTTACCTGTAATTCTAATGGTGTTTCAAATACCATGGCACTCTTGGGGTAGAGGGAGGGAAAGCATTATATACTTGAAGCCATTTACAATACAGTACTCTAATTAATATAAAACAAAAAAATACGGAGTCATCTTCTCATCGTCCTTGCTTGACTTTGGCAAAATGCCTTAGAAAGAACTTAAGCTTCCCCAAGGAAGCTGAGTAATCAAAGGGTCAGTATTTATTTCATATGTAACTTGATCATAACTGTAAAAAACAATTTCATGCAGAGATTACACAATACTAACAGCTGACTTCTAAAGTAATCTGTAATTTCAAGTC